CATAAATGTAAAGCAAAATAAGAGCGCTAGATTATTATTTGCTGCACAACATGCACAACAAATATGAACTATACACACACTTAAGCATTCACTAGGAGAGCCTTTTGTTTTTCATTAGAGGCTTCTGAATGCCATTCTTACCCCAAAGGTTCATGATCCTGGTGGGATGTGAGGGTTCCAGCATTGTAATTTCTTCACAGGATTCCTTATTATTGAAAAGTCCCATGAGGCACAGAGGAAGAAAAGGGAGGCTTCAGGTAGTTTTGTTTGTATGATCTTTTTCCACTGTTAACTTTCTCTCCGTAAGCGTCATTAGTGATACCCACATGTTACAAACCACTGAATCTTAAATAGTTGCACTCCCAAAATATAAATGCTTTAAACATTTGGCACTGAAACAAAGAACTTGTCTCAATCAGTAACACCCGTTTAACCCACCTATAACAGCAGACACAACTTCATTCTACTCTGTAATCAAATTTCACAATGCTGTGGGTGTTTTTTTTTTGTTTTTTTTTGGTGATAAAATACTAATTTAGCAGGAAAACTACAACGAGTCGCTGAGCCAGTCTATCTTTCTGCTTTGATCCTTGTCTAAGGGATAATTACTTAAATAAGCTCAAACTCTCTAGGGAAGAATTTCACCCGAGGAAATCTAAATTTAATGCACATAATGCACATTTAATGCACACATGCAAAAATGAATTTTCAGTATCATTACTCCAGTCTTCAGTGTCACATGATCTTTCACAAATCATTCCAATATGCTGATTTGGTGCTTAAGAAACATTTCTTATTATCAGTGTTGAAAACAGTTGTGCTGCTTAATATTTTAGTGGAAACCAAGGGTGTCACATGATCTTTCACAAATCATTCCAATATGCTGATTTGGTGCTTAAGAAACATTTCTTATTATCAGTGTTGAAAACAGTTGTGCTGCTTAATATTTTAGTGGAAACCAAGGATTCTTTAATAAATAGAAAGTACAGCACTTATTTGAAATAAAAATTTTGACTGGTCACTTTTGATCAGCTTAATGCATTCTTGCTGAATAAAAGTAACAATTTATTTCAAAAAGTTACTTATACTGACCCTAAACTTTTGAGCGGTAGTGTAACTGCATACATTATGTTCCCATATGTTTAATATGTGCTTTAGTGTCATTTCAGGTATTGCACTGACACCAAAATCACTTGTGGAGGAGAACCAGCTGGAGAAGGTATGAATTCAGATCATGTGCTTTATACATGAATCATTTGCAGGACACAGCAGGTCTCCCATCAGACCTCTTCAAATCTGTCTTTTACCACAAAACATGCATTTCCCTCCTGGCAAGAACCCAGAGCTGTCTCTCTCAATACATTTATTTTGACTCAACCCGACTTATTTTTGGAGGAATAAAAAAAGGACTATAATTCATGGAAGGGTGAAACAATAAGTGTTACCAGACACCTTGTAAAATGGAGTTCAAGTGTTGTATGTCAAAAGGCACATTTGTATTCCATTTACTTCTAAACATTACAGGCTCGGGTTACATTATGAGCTAGTGGTTGATATTAGAAATGTCTTTGATATGTTTAAATGTTTATGACTTTGGGAAAGCTGTGGTGTCAAAGGGTTAACAAACCCTAGCGTTTAGTTTGAGAAAAGTGGCTACACTCAAAAAAGTAGAATAAAGATTCCAAAAGGGCAGTGATGCCATAGAAGAACCTTTTGGGTTCCACTAAGAACCTTTCAGGGAAAAGTTCTTAAATGAACCATTTTTCGTAATTTAAAGAACATTACTTTTTCCAGAGGCTTTTAAAGTTCCATGGATGTTAAAGGTTCTCCCTGGAACCACAGATGCCAATAAAGAACCTTTATATTTGAGAGTGTAGGTGAAATCCACTCACAAAGGTTGTTGGGTTCAGGATGTTTGGATGTTTATCCACAGGATGGTGCTAAAATGTTTTAGAAGGATTCATGTTTTATGTAAGATTGAATCTGACAGTGCAGAAGATACATCTTAAAAAATAGATGAATGCCTCTGATCGATTTGGAGATTGCTGAGGAAAAATACAGCTGCAGTAGGAGATCATAGGGAAAAATGTTTTGAGAATAAAAGTAACATCTAAGATTCAAGCTCTCTGAAATTCCTTGAAATATTCAATGGACAAATTGAAACTTAAAGGTGACCTTTTGTGATTAGTTCAAATGAAGTTTAGAATTGAAAAATGGCCTTTAAATCTCTAATGTTGTTTTTATCAAAGAAGCATGCATTTCCCTTCAAGGGCAGCTATTGAAACCATCATCAGCCTACTCTTACAAAAACTGCTGCGTAGCAATTTTTTCTTGGTTTCCATCCAAATGCATGGAGCAAAATTAAACAAGGCTCTTTGTTGCAGTGACAGAGACAAAGAAGCATCTGACTCATTTGGCAGGAGTTCTAAAACGGGATATAGATATAGTTTCAGCATTTTCCCCATCCTACTCAGCTGTGATATAGTGATTATATCAAAATAAAATGAAAAACTGCCAAAAGTATATGAGAAGAAAAATCAAGCTCAAAGTGCAAAGTACAAGTCCAAGTGCAAAAATAAGAATGCTGTCCGTGTCAGTCAAAATGAGTCAGTCGAATGCTGTCTAGACATTAAAGACGCAGTAAATCAGAACTACATTACCATATGTGTATGCACACACAGACTCCTTTTTTATTAATACATTTTTTTTTAAATAATAGTAAATTCATTAAAACTTTGAAAAAACACAAATGAAAGTATGAGATATTGACATGTTAAACAAATCAAAATCCCTTATATTGAAGGTTCTACAAAGTAATGATGTGTAAATTATCAACTTTACTTTGGAAGGATAATACAAAGTTGTTCCTATAAAGTAAATACTTGGCACTGGCACATCAGGTGCACTGTTTTTAAAAAAACACATATCATTATCCATTAATTTTATGGACATTTCTGTTAGCGCTAAAACACAACACAATGCAAAGTTCAAAATACAAGTAAAACTATTTCAAAAAATCAATATGGTCAAATTAATTTGGAAAATTCCTATATATTAATACGAGGCCGGTTTCATGAAAATGCGTATAAATAGTACGCCAAAAAAAAACGAAAACTCGCGGTATTGATACGCAAAAATGTACTTTGCCGTGCATATGATACGCATGTGTTTGGCGTGCATATAATACGCAGTTTTCGCGTGCATATGATATGAAATTTGTTAGCGTGCATATGATACGCAGTTTTCGCGTACATATGATACGCATCTACCCCACAACCCTAAACCTACCCATCGCGTAGCATATACACGCCAAAGTCCATTTTTGCGTATCAATACCACGAGTTTTCGTTTTTATTTGGCGTACTATTTATATGCACTTTCATGAGATCGGGTTGATTAATACAGTACATTGTTCCAACTTACTGTTTTTTTTAGAGTGTGTAGATATTGGATGTGCTGTAAGACCTCTCCTCAAAACGTCAACTTCCTTAGTTGACACCCCGGACCGATGCTGTTCAAAAGAGATCAGCAAAGGCCCTTTAATTTACAGATCCTTCCCGAGCAGGCAATTTCCTCAACCATGGACTCAACACTAATGACACCGTTCATGCGCTTTAACCAGAGGCATCTGAGAAATGTGTCTTCTCATTGTCAGGTGCTTTTAGGTCAGGTGAATAAATCAAGCATGCCACTTTTTGAGCGGTGCCAAATCCAGAACAGTCTTTGTTTCAACCTCAAAAAATTCAGGCTGTATTTTACTCAGGTAAACCTTATCATCTGATGCATTTAACCCTTATGTTCTGTTGAGACAGACTTTAATGCTTTATGTGTTAATAATAGTAGTTTAAAAGTTAACCTGTTATAGTTCACCCAAAAATAATGCTCTCCCTCAGGCCATCCGGATGAGTCTGTTTCTTCACTGGAACAAATTTGGATAAATTTAGCAATACATCACTTGCTCACCAGTGGATCCTCTGGGTGCCGTCAGAATGAGAGTTCCAACAGCTGATAAAAACAACTCAATAATCCACAAATAATTCACATTCCAGTTCATCAATGCATGTCTTGTGAAGCAAAAAACTGTGTTTGTAATAAACAAATTCATCAGTAAGACTTGAAACTGGTTGCTTTGTGGCTATAAGTTCTTCATCCGTAATATTGCTTACTCCAGTGAAAAAGAAATAAGCACAGAACAAGCTCTGTTTACATGCGAAAATATTCCAAAACAGTTCTAAACAAATATTTTGGTAGAATTTGATGTGAGAGGGGATGTTATTACGTATTATGGACTTATGTATTTTGGTCAGAACTGTCAATTTTAAGTTAAAACACTTTAATGATGTATTTGTTTATTTGAAACACACAGCTTTTCACTTCACAAGATGTTAACTGATGGATTAAGTCATGTTGTGGATTATTGTGATGTTTTAATCAGCTGTCTGTGTACTCTCATTCTGACGGCACCCATTCACTGCAGTGGATCCATTGAAGTGATGCTAAATTTCTCCAAATCTGTTTTGATGAAGAAATAAACTCATTTACATATTGGATGTGTGTATATATTCATTTATTTGTAAAATAATTAAAAGCTTTATTTCTTTTTAATTAGTAATATGCAAAAGAACACGAGGGTTAAATGAAACAGGTGCACTTCAAGAACTGGCACAAAATCACAAACAAATTATAAACACTAGCAGGCAGACACGTCGTCAATACAGCGAAATGTAAAATGTATCATTATCGTATCCAACTGTTAGACAGGACAGTCACTATCTAAACCTCTCCTGCTAACCCACATCACTGAAAACCAAACCCGCGCTCTCCCCTCTCGCGACGGAGCGCCTCAGAGGAATGGAGGGCTGGATCACGTGATTGCCGATGAACTTGCCACTCCAGCCCCTGAAAGAAAAGTGTAATTTGAAGAAAAGAGAACAAAGAAATCAGAGAGTATAAAATCCCTCGGCTAGTCTGCACTTGGTCAGAGTAAAGCTCGACAGACAGGCGCGCGCTCTCTCCCCGCCTTCCCTCACGCTCGTATAGTAAAGTGCCCCGCGCGCAGGTGGTGCGTGCGGCTCTGAATCCGATCAGGATGATGCGATCTGCACAGCTTCTCGCTGCAGTCTTATACTGCTTAGTGTGCATTCATTCTCTACCGGTACCAGACGGAAACAGCCACAGGTACAAACCTGCAGCGGTAAGTGCATTTAAAAATATTGTAAGCAACTACAAAATAACAGAAATAAAGATCCACTAAAGTAGCCTATTTTAGACTTGTTAAGCAAATCACAAATAATGTAAACAAATTTTAATTGAAAGTAATTTCACTCCATGCAAATACTAACAAATAAGCATCTTTTTCACTGTATGATATAGAAGGACTATAAAATATAAAAACATTAACAGGTGATGAATTTCAAATTTGCATGCAACTTGAATGATTTATTGCTACCCATTCGTTGTCATTCACCTGTTACACATGCATCTACACAAGATATGCTACTAGAATAAACAAAACTTGTGTATGAAGAAGGCAATACCAGCAGAGAGCACATTTATATTTGCATCAGTGAAATGTGTGGCATCTTAGCATATTATACATATTATAAGATTTTTGTTTTGAAAGAGCAAAACTGCTTAGTGTAGTTCACGTTCAGTATGTTTGCAGTTGTTTAAGGGGTGGGACCTACTGTAGAAAGTTGGATTTTTTTTCAGGTATGTGTTTGGGTCAGTGAGTCAATGAAGGTGTCTGAAAAGGCAACTGCATTGCTGCCTAGTATGTGAATGGTAGCATTTTATGTATGATGGTGCTGAAACTGTTTCAAAAAGGCTTCCAAAAACACAGTGACATACAGTCTAATGGTCAACTTTAGCGATGACCAAGTAAATATTTAGGGAAATAGAAATGGAATAACAGGTTGAGACAAATATAGAACATTAAAATGAAAATTAATTTTCTCATAATTTAACCTCCCACACAATGTTTTTACTGGAATATTAAGCATACATTAATGTTGCCTTCAGAAGCAACCAAATGAAGGCACCTAAACATTGCACTTATACATTGCATGCAAAAGCAGACCATTTTTGAATTCATTATTATCATGTCTTTTAATCCATATAGCTCAATGTTATTCTGTTGAATCCACCCAGCTCTTTATGCTGAATTGGTTTCAGAAAAAAAATATATAATTGTGTTGGAGTCTTTGTGGTTTAAACTTCCTGCTGATCTTCGAAGAACTGAAATCTGGCTGTAAGAACTTTGTTCTGCACAAAACAAGAGAGGGCTTGTAAGGCTTAGAGGAAGTGGACAAAGAAGAACTATACAGATGGCTGTTGTAACCCAGTTGGCAAAGATCCATACAGAGATTTTGCCAGGGAAAATATCAGGCTAAAAACACATATCTGTGAATAAAAGAGCTGAAATGAGTAGTTGTAACAGAGTAGAGAACTGAACACTGTCTTTGTCTTTCTTTTAGAATGCTGAATAGCCACAGACACACAAAGCATTACCACAAAATGACAATGAAACATTGCATGCTGTCAAAGCATCTGGCTATAAAGAGCAGCTTAATTTTATTGTATGTTTGCCTTGACCCACTTTGCCAATCAAACAGGAATGGCACCTGCAATCAACCAGCTCCAGACGTTTTTAAAGACAAACTGTGTACATGTTTGAATGTAGAGAGGCTGCGTTGATGCGGAGCATGTGCTGTCAATTTGTTCTTGAATGTTGACAAAGCCGGAGCAGGAGATTATGCAGGCAGGGGCAAGTCATCTGGCACGTTGAGCAGGATAACAAACCCTGTGTTTGCTGACAGAGAGGAAAATGGAAGGATCCAGATAGCTACCACTGCATTTGTTGACCCCCCTGAGAAAAGAAAAGCTGATGTCCTTCTTTAAGGCATTATTCACACATCACAAGATCCATGAAGACTTGACAAAACAACTCAGTCAACACACTAACATGACTAATGTACAGTCCACAGGGTTGGCCAAATTTTAAAATTATGATCTATCTATCTATCTATCTATCTATCTATCTACTGTTCTATGCATCTATCCATCATCCATCCATCCATCCTCTACCCATTCGTCTATCAGCTGTTCTATGCTCTACCCATCATCCATCCATCCATCCATCCATCCATTGTTCTATGCATCTACCTATGCATCTATCTCACATTTTATGAATCAATCTTTTGTTCCATCCATCTGTCTATCTACTGTTCTATGCATCCATCCATCAATCACCCATCCGTCTATGCATCTACCTATACGTCTATCTATCATTTTATGCATCTATCTTTCCAACCATCCATCCGTCCGTCCGTCCGTCCATCCATCCATCTATCCGTTTCTCTACTGCTCTATGCATATATCCATCATCCACCCATCCATCCAGCCATCATTCTACGCATCTACCTATACACCTATCTATCATTTTATGCATCTATCTTTCCATCCATCCATCCATTGTTCTACGCATCTAACTATACACCTATCTATCATTTTGTGCATCTATCTTTCCATCCATCCGTTTATCTATTGTTCTATGCATATATCCATCATCCACCCATCCATCCATCCATCCATCATTCTATGCATACCTATCCATCTATCCACCGCTTTGTGCATCTGTCTTTCCATCCATCCATTAATCCATCCGTCTATCTACTGTTCTATGCATATATCCATCATCCACCCACCCATCCATCCATCCATCCATCCATCATTCTATGCATACGTTTTGTGCATCTATATTTCATCCATCCATCTATCTACTGTTCTATACGTCTATCCATCATCCTTCCATCCATCATTCTATCTATGCATCTAACTGTCCATCTATTTACCCTTCTATGCGTCTATCTTTCTTTCCATCCATCCGTCCATCCTTCCATCAATCTATGCATCTACCTATCCATCTGTCTACCATTCTATGCATTCATCTGTCCTTTTGCCTGTCTTTGAATTTCAGTAGATTTTAAATTGCATCCTGTTGTTCCTACTCAGGAATAGAATTGGAATGTAAAAGGTATTTTCAATTAATTTCTGAATCATGCACAAATCTAGTAAGCCACCATGTAGCGTGAATTTAAGGAGGAGGAAAGAAACAGATTTTCTTACCCATTCTAGGCACCCTTGGTAATCAGCACCAATTATTCAGTTTGGGTTATCCTTATAACCCAGTCTCAACATATGAAAGAAAAGGACACACAAGCTTAGAGTGGATAGAGCATATAAGGTCAGGGTCAGTTGCAATGCACCACCTGTGGAGCCGTTTGGTTTAGATTTCTTGCCTGTAGGCACAAACGAGAGCATGACTGATACCAGAAACCCTGACGTACCTGGTTCTGATTCAAACCACCATTTTTCCTGTCACCTGACCTTTAGATCTAGAACCTCTCGACAGCTGTTTCCTATCTCTACGGAAATTAGGAGACAAAAGAACTTGCTCTTGAAGTACCTTTATTTCAAGTTCATTGTTGTTCCTGGCAATGCATCAAACATTTCAGTGCAGTTGTCTTCCATAATAATATTGCCTAGTTGTCACCTCTTTCGCTTTAAGGTGGAACAAGTGGGAACTATTTAAAGATTCAAAAGCAGTAGTATTTTTCCTCCCTAGGCTAGACACTAATGGTCTACCTTAGATGCACTACACTCTTTCTGCATGAACATCTTCCATCAACATCATTTTCCCACTAAACAGTCTTCCTTTTCAGTGTAATCACTTGTGTATACAACCCCAAAGCATGCAGATCTCTGGAGGTTTTTGCGGGTAAATATTTACCCTAGTCCGATTTCCTCTGGCATGCTCATTCATTATCTCTAGTTGTGGCCTACTTTAATGTGCCAGAAAATGTCTATGTAACAGACTGGAATTTCTTGTTTGTAATTTTTCTCTCGACAAAGGCATGCTTCAGAGAGACAATGAGACCCATGCAGCCAGGATGTTTGGATCAGGGTTGCACTGAAAATAAAACGCCAAGCCAAAAAAGCAGGATGGTAGGAAGTGCTCTTGGCTGTGTTTCTATGGCTTGCTGAGTCAGTAGTAAACAGTCATCCAAATGTAGAAAGTCATTTTGGGCGTATTTTGGAAATGCATGATGCTTTGCTTTTGATGCCGGCTGTGCTGATGAGTGTAAGAGATCTGTCAGGAGTTGCTGACATCATCCGGATGCCCCAAAGAGAAAGATTTGGCTGCCAACAAAGAAGTTTACCCTCAGAAAACCTATGGAGATGGCATGATGCCAGGCACTCCAATTCTCTCCAAACCTTATTCTTGCACTGACATGTCAGTTCTTTTCTTCTGGATTTCCCCCAAAGGCTTCTCGCAGGCTCTGGGTCTCTGTGTTTTGTTTCAGCATAACATACTGCATCATGTTAGAGCTTTTACCCACTGACCTATTGACCTACAGATGCACACGCTGTGAAAATAGAAGTTTGTTTATGGTGTTTCTTCCATTCCTGTTTGTTCCTTTTATATCCCCAAATGTTGGATATTTGATATTATAAATGTAGGTGTTAAAAATAATAGTTCTTCTGTATTGTTTAGAACATAGCAGATCTTCCCGCAGGCACAAATGCCTGATGTTTGAATGCATAAAGGTGTGACTGCAGCTTAAGGTAAAATAATTCCCAGTTGTTTTTGTTTGTCAGCTGATGAAAGGCATATATCTGTCAGGAAGGTATCATAAAAACGTCAAAAAAGCCCACAACATGATGAGGCTTGGAAAGAGAGACCTTTGTTTTATATGGAACATGTGTGGCTATGGTAATTCTGAAGACATTTCAGTGGGTTTCTGAATGGACTGCCACTTTCACATGTTTCACTACATGCAGGTGGATGCTGTAAAATATGCCCAGGCTTGAGGAATGTCTGGTTAAGAAAAGGTTCTTTGATTTGGGCTTTTGTTAAAACGCAATGTGTGCGTGAATGTTGTAATAATATTACAAGCAAAGACTACTTAGCGTATAGTCCCTCAATAGTGCAGTCACATTGATCTTTTTTTAATTAGTCTTAAAGGAACAGTTCACCCAATATTATTCCCCCAATTAAAACTCTCCTTTTGTGTCCTATGAAAATACCCTCATAGTTCCAGTTGAAAATGTTGACGAGTAAATAATGACAGAATTTTTTTTTCAGGCAGGTTTCAGTTTAATTGAGCTCTTAGAGCTGCCACAATTATGGAGCAAGATCTAATGATAGATTGATAGTTGGGTTGTTTGTTGAGAAAATGATGTTTTGGCTGTTTCTTTCGAGACTTGGCTTTGACTCTATATGCTTATAACAGTTTCAGCTGCTAATATGTACTTAAGTATTATTACATAAGCAACCTGAGCCGTCTTGTTTGCACTGAGCAACTTATAAAATACTGACAGCATATTATGAAATGTGGTTACAAAAGTGGGTCACATGAGTTCATAGTATTTCTATGATTTGTTTATGTAGACTTTTTATATACATTTTTATGTCCACTCTATGTCAAGAGTTTGGGGTCAGTAAGATTTTTTTTAAAAAGACACATTAAATGTAAAGTGCTAATGAGCTTTTTAAACTTTCTATTCATCAAAGAATTCTGAAAAAAAGATCACATTTTCCACAAAAATACTAAGCAATATAACGGTTTTCAACTTTGATAATAAGAAAGAAATGTTTCTTAAGCAGCAAATCAGCATATTAGCTTGATTTCCGAAGGACTGGAGTAAATTCAGCTTTTCCATTGCATATTAAAATAGAAAACATATATTTTAAAATGCAAAGATATTTCAGAATATTCCTGCTTTTATTGTATTTTTGATCAAATAACTGTAGCCTTGGTACACATACAAGACTTTTAAAAAAAAAAAACTTAGAAAATTAAACAGACCCAAAACTTTAGACTGATTTGTTTAGGAATTATGTATGGTTTATACAGAATTGATCTACTAAAAGGGGAAAAACATTGTCTGTCGACTGAGTTTTGGTTTGAAATGGGAGTATGTGTGTTTACTTTGGCCCAAGGGGTCTGTTTCGTTGATTTAGGCTTTAACCTTTAACCCTTGACTCCCGCTGAACCTGAGACACCCGGGTGTTTTTCTTCCACATCCGTCGCTCCCTAAGTAGACTCGAAGCCAGTTTGTCATCGCTGAGAGGTTCCACTGCTCTACAATAAACAATCTTGACTGTTGTACAAAAAACTTGCCTGTCTCCAGGTTGTTTAGAGACTGCTTAAATTACATGCTTTCAACATGTACGACCATTTAATGATGGTTCAGCCCATGGAAAGTCCATGCGCGCTCAGCAGATTTGAGAGAAACAAACTGAGAGTAGATAAAGCGCAGTGAATTCTTCACTTCTATCTGTGGAATTTGTGCGGTTTTTTGTTGATTTAGGCTTTAACCTTTAACCCTTGACTCCCGCTGAACCTGAGACACCCGGGTGTTTTTCTTCCACATCCGTCGCTCCCTAAGTAGACTCGAAGCCAGTTTGTCATCGCTGAGAGGTTCCACTGCTCTACAATAAACAATCTTGACTGTTGTACAAAAAACTTGCCTGTCTCCAGGTTGTTTAGAGACTGCTTAAATTACATGCTTTCAACATGTACGACCATTTAATGATGGTTCAGCCCATGGAAAGTCCATGCGCGCTCAGCAGATTTGAGAGAAACAAACTGAGAGTAGATAAAGCGCAGTGAATTCTTCACTTCTATCTGTGGAATTTGTGCGGTTCCTCATTGCCGGGGGTGTGGGGTCATGTTTTAGCAACACTATCAAGTTCACATGTCAGTGGATTGTTACTAAGGTACTACGTCTCGACTTGCCCAAAAAATTTGGTTGTTTTTCCTTTTATTTGTTAGAATTTGTCTTGAGTTACACTGTCTTCTAATCAGATGCTACGCAACAAGTTTCCAGCAATAAGCAATTTGTCTGTTCGCACTGAATATGAATATGTTATTGGTCACACTTTATTTTAAGGTCCAATTCTTGCTATTAACAAACCATTAACTACAACTTTTGCCTCTATAAACTCCTGATTTGCTTATTAATAGTTAATGTTAAGTTTAGGTATTGGGCATGATTAGGGATGTGGAATACGGTCATGCAGAATATGTGCTTTATAAGTAATAAACAGCCAATATGTTAATAATAGGCACGCTAATAAGCAACGAGTTAATAGTGAGAATTGGTCCCTATACTAAAGTGTTACCCTGCTGTTTGATAATATTAATGTCAGATGCATTAGAGTGCTGCATTTTAGCACTTAGATTTTAAACCAGTGAGACAGAGAAATTGACAAAATGTCCTGTCACTCATCCTTTGTTGTGGTAAAAAGAATTGCTGTTCGTCTAAAAAAGTCCAAAACCTCAAGAAATTGGCTACTCATTTTTAGCCACTCGCTTTAGTCTGTTATATCTTCATGATAGTTGGACCTGCTTTCAGTGATAAAGCCACATTTAAACAAGTGACTTTTTTCTTTTCAGACTTCCTGCTTTATATTTCTAAATGTTTTATGGTTGTCTAAATATAGTTTGTGCTTAAATTACAGCTTTTAAAAGACTCCCTATGGCTACGAGAGGCGGAAGGATTTTTAAAAGCATTTAAAAGAAATAGTTCACCCTATACCACCCCTGGCCTCTTAACCAAGCATAAATTAGAGAGAAAGAAGGAGGTATAGAGAAGGAAAAAGAGTGAGAAGGAGGCTTCTAAACCCACACAGCTGGAGTAGAGAATTGCGATGAGGTTTGGGGAAGGAGAGAAATTGGGGCAATCTGACTTTCCCCTCCAGGCAGCTAACCTCCCAGCCCATTAACAGAACCATTTCCTTGAAATTTGGGTGAGGAAATTGACTGTGATAATGCTTCTTGCAAATGATCAGTGACGTATGACCAACAGTTGCACAGCTATAATTTCACTAATTTTGCTCCCAATTTAGACAGCAAGGCTTTATTTGCACCTTCACCTTACTGTTTGTCCAACCAGAACACCCTAGCAACCATCTAGCAATGCCCTAGAAATTACAGTGTTATTTTAGTACTATTTATGTACTATTGTATTATTTATTCATATTTAAGCTTTTATTTATATATTTTAGTTTGTTTATATTTTTTACATTTTAGTTTATATTTTTAAGTTTATATTTAGTTTACATATTAGTTTACATTTTTAAGTTTTGTTTTATGATTTTCTTTTTTTTTTTTTTATACATTTCTATATAACTTTATTTATTTATTTATATTTCAGTTTTTTTAATTTGAGTAATTACTTCAACCTAAACTCATTTTATTTCCATTAGTTGCCAGGCAACATTTCTAATTTTTGTTTACATTTATGTTTTTCATCTAACATTTATATTTTATTTGAGCTTTATTTCAATAAACAAAACAAAAACGAAATGAATAGTTTTAGTTAACAATAAAAATACTGCTAGCATTGCCTTAGAAACCCTAGCATCCGGTGTTATTTTAATATTATTTATATTAATATTTTGAATGACCTTTTTATATTTTATTATTTTTAGGTTATATTTTAGTTACATTTTAATTTTAGTTTACGTTTTAGTAATTGTGTTTTGTGATTTTGACATTTTTATTAGTTATTTTTTTTACATTTCTGTTCATCTTTAATTAATTTAATTTATTTCAGTTCAAATTTTAGTAATGTTATTGCTTCCACTTTAACTTAATTTATTTAAGTTAGTTGTAGTTAGTTTCAAAGGCAACGTTTGTTTACATTTTCAAAGGTTTTTCATCTATTTACATTTTATTATATATTTCATATTTTCATGTTGATATTTTATTGCATTTTATTTTTAATAGTTTTGGACTAGCAATGCCCTGTAAACCAGCCAGAATACCCTAGCAACCGAATAACAATACACTAAAACACAACAACACATTAGCCCCCAAACAAACCCAATTTAATAGTGTAGCATCTATAAATGAAGGTCAAATGTACATTTGATTGACAGTTTATGTGTGTGTTGACAGGACTGGCCTCAAAAGACCCATCACCATGGCCTGAAGAAGAGGGGCCGACTTCATCACATTCAGGACACCCTGAGTGAAGACTCTAGCAATAAAAGAGTACATCCACACTCGACTCTTCCCAAGAATGACACTGAGTTCTGGAACAGACCTCGCTGTGGAGTCCCAGACTACCCCTCACAGAAGGAAGGGAGCGTCCTTAATTACTCAACCCTCAAAGGAGGTTTGCTTGGGGGCCGTCATCGCCGAAAACGCTTTGATTTGTTCGGAGGCCGCTGGGACAAAACAGACCTCACATACAAGTAAGACTTGCACGGATAGTGGTTGCGGTTGTATCTGGTTGCTGTGTCTACACTTAATGAGATGATAGACATAAAATTAATTAAACATTAAAGCGTAAATGGGAGAAAATGACTTTGATGCATTGCCAAGGTACTATTTTGAGCCTTACACAACAAAGGCCACACTGAGGCAATAATATAGCTTATTTTTGGTATCCTAGCTCCCAGTCAACACACATTTGACTGAATCTATACATTAAAGTTTTTTTTTCTTATTACAGAGTGTGTTTAAATGAAACATTTGCAGTTCTTCTTCCTCCTTTTATCTCAGAAATACACTATTTCCCAGCCCACACAGGAAATACTCGTTTCTAATGTTTCTTTCTTTATCTTCTCACATTTCTTATAGCTGTTATCAGCTCTAAAAAAGACCACACACTCTTTTCACTATTACACCCACTTAATTAGAAGCAATAAGCTGTCTCAGACCCGGGACTGCATGGCTCCAGAACACAGCGAGAAATATGTATCAAGCCCCCTTTGATTTAAAGCAGTAAATCATTTTCTTAAACACACACAGTCGCTCGCTACTTCAAGTCGACCTGAATTTCATTGGTTTTTAAAGGAATAGTTCACCCAAAATGAAAAGTGTGTCATCTTATACCTACCCTCATCATTCCAAACCTGTTCAACTTTCTTTCTTCTGCAGAAAATAACATATTTTGAAAATGTCTCGGGGTTTGTTTTCTTAAACACACAATGAAAATCCATTGACTTTCATCAGTTGACCTCAGTGACTTTTTTCAAAATATCCTCTTTTGTGTTACACAGTTTGGAATGACATGAGAGTGAGTAAATGATGACAGAATTTTCATTTTGAGTGAACTATCCCTTTAAGAAGCCTTTGATTGACATGATGGCCTTACTATTGTATTTGTCTGGTCACCACTTCATGTTTTGACTGATTTGCCTCATATATCTCTGTCAAAGACGGTTCCCACCGGACATAGTACTCTCTGTAATCTGAAGTCAGTGAGGTCACGACCCGACTAGGAGAAGATGTTACATTTCAGAGCACTCATGTGTGTTATGGGCGCAGAGCCCAAATGGTTCTAGTTTTCTCTTCAGTGCTCAGCAGGGGGTGAGATGAGGATCCAGACAAAGAAATCCAGCCTTACAACCACTGATTAAATCTGTGCCTTGATTTATGGCCCTTCCCATAAAATATTACAGCCTATAAATCTCCCATGGTTCTACATCTGAATCAAGCCACATTGCTGTAGGAAAGACGAGTCTTTGTGTCTGCATACAATAAAGATAGTCAAAACAGAAAAAAAGTATTTTCTTTAGAAAATCATGGGAAGGATGAACACCTAGCATGACTTGAGGGTGAGTAATTTATGGGCTAATTTTCATTTTTGGGTGAACTAACCCTTTAAAGGGATAGTTCACCCAAAAATGAAAATTACCCTATGATTTACTCACCCTCAAGCCATCCTTGGTGTATATGACTTTATTCTTTCAGAATCAGAATTATATTAAAATAATATCCTGGATCATCCAAGCTTTATAATAGCAGTGAATTGTGGTTGAGATTTTAAAGTCCAAAAAAGTGCATCCATCCATCATGAAAACTACTCCACACAGCTCTAGGGGGTCAATAAAGACCTTCTGAAGCGAAGCGATGCGATGCGTTTGTGTAAGAAAAATACAAATAAAGTCACGTATTACAAGTACAAAATGAGTATTTGTAATGAAAAATGTCGGAAGATTTCGATATAAGCCAAGAGGAGCATGGTTTTCCTTTGCTGTAAACAAAAATTGATTCTCGCGAGACTAGCATATTCTCACCCGAGGTTACGCTACGCCTAAGTCCTACGTCATCCGCTGGAAAATGAAGAATTGAAGAATGTTGAATTTTAATATTGATCCATCTCTTATAATTCATCACTGTACTGTAAATTTACATATAACAAGTTTAATTTTTTTTATTTTGGGGGTAGGTTGCACCCTGAAAATTACCATTAATGATTGCTTAAAAAAACAACAACTCTGAAATCATTTTACAATTTGTATACTAAGTGCTGCCTCATCAGAATCTGATGTCAACACAGCAACTCATGCACATATTTTATCTCCAGCAAACCCCAGTCAGCAGCATTCTAATGCATTCTCATAACCACTATGAGCTGTCGTGACTCACGTCTCTGAAAGTTGTTTAAGGGTTATAGCACCTTACTGTCCTCTGTAATTTGTCCCCTCACTTAATGACGGACTGTACATGTGCAAAATTAACTCAAACACCCCCCCCCGCTACCCCCACCATACTGTCAATTCAGTTACTTCAATGAGTCTGTAACCTTAAGGAAATCTGTGTCTTTCATGTCACATGTGTGCAGTGGATTGAGGTCTGAAGTCATTCTGCATGAGGCACACCTTCAGTAAAACATGATGAATGACACCTGTGCACTAAGTTTGTCCATTAAAGCCACCATTGGACCAGATGGTTAGACGTTACTGCTGAAAGTAGTAAAAACAAAACAACACAAAAAAATAGAGAAAAGAAGCCACTTGCTAGGAACGTTGAAATCAGTTGTGCTGCTTAATACTTTTGTGGAAACCGTGATCCATTTTTTCAAGATTCTTGTTAAACAGTAAGTTCAGAATAACACTATTTGAAAGTGGTGCTTTAAAGATAATATGTTGTTTGCGAAATTAAATAAATACCAAATTCTCATTTTTAAAGCATTATTTTATTTTATTTTATTTAAAATAAATTTTTTTCACAAACCCAAAGATGCCTCTTCTGGTCCCCTGGGAGTCCCTAGACCCCAGTTTGAAAACCCCTGACATATAAGTATCTATAAAACCTATTTGGGGCCGCTGTATTTGCACTTTAAAGCCACTAATCTAAACCCGATTTACGTTTCATCTATTCTTTTGGGTAGTAGCCATAGTCCTAGGTCAGCAAATAGGGAGGGATTCTCTAATTGTAGCAGCGAATAAAGACAATGTTTAAAGCCACAGACTACCACACTGGGCTCTCTCCCGCTGTCATAGCTCCTGTCTGGGCTTGCAGACTGCAGAGGCCCCACAATCTGAGATAGTTTGTGGCTCCAACATGCAGCCCCAGAGCGATCCCTGTCCCACAGAGCTAATAATGACCAAAGCATGAAGGTGTCCAAGCATGAAAACAACACAGAGCAGAGGTACCAGTCACTATAGCTGCAGGTCGGGAGCTAAACAATACTTCAGATGAGGTGCTTTAAGACATTTTCTTTTTCTTTTTTTTATGAAATGCACTAAAGGGAAGTTTTGTGGAACATGATACAGATTTGTGGTCCACCAGCTTAAATGGGCTCAGTGGGGATTCTGCTTGTGAAAATAAGCATGCATGCCTTCATCACTCAGCAAGCTTTATAATGTAGCTCGTCTTTCATCTGAGAGAAGTTCAAACCTGTGGGCTCATTCTATGAGAGATGAAAGTAGCATTTTAATTTATAAACAGCATTTAAAATGGGTAAACTGCTGGTTTAGAATAGAAAGAGCAGTTGAAGCTTTTTATGGTTAGTTTTTGGGAGGAATCAACGGTGGTGTGATAGTAAACTCTGGACCAGAAAAGATCTAATTCAAGATAAATGCAACCTAAACAAATGCTATAAAAGGGATAGTCCACCCAAAATCTTTTACTCATTTCAGCTATAATTTACACAAAAGAAGATACTTTGAATAACTATTGACTTCCATTGTATTTTTATTCATACAATGGAAGTCAATAGAAACATAAACTGTATTTACCTAAATCTTTCTAAATATTTTCTCGTGTTTCACACAAGAACAAAAGTCATACAGGTTTGGAACAACATGAGGGTGAGGAAATGATGACAGAACTTTCATTTTTGGGTGGACTATCCCTTTAAAGCCTCTAAAATTGTCAGTAATGCAGTGTATTGTGAATTGTTTGGGATTAAAAAGATCCTGCTAAATGACAAGAAACAAAAGAGTCTTGAAATATGTTATGTATTCCTGTAAGGCTTATATGCACTTAAAGGAACCTGGATAGGGGTACCATCACTGTCACAATATCAAGTATCACATGTGTTCTGTTATTATGGTCAGAGAGCGTTGTAGTAGGTACCGTGTCTAATCCATTCAGACTGAGCTTGTCTTTCACAACAGCCAGATTCTGATCCAGTCCCTTGGTTCACTACCAAGAAGGGTAGCAAACATGTTCAAATAAAGGGAATTATTGGGGTAATGCACCAGAGACCAAATGAAAATCGCATGGGTGGTCTGTAGTGAGCGTTTATGAGTGTTTGTGCTCGTGTTACAGGATCATGCGGACGCCTTGGCAGATGAGTTTAGAGAAAGTCAGACATGTGCTGAGAGAGGCACTGTGGGTCTGGAGTGACGTCACTCCTCTCACCTTTACTGAGGTCACCAGTGGCCGGGCGGATATCATGATTGACTTTAACAGGTAAAAAAAAAAAAGATATTTTCACTGTTTTCTGTGTCTGTTTGTTTTTAAAGGGGTCATAACATACATATAATCTTTCCACTCCAGTTGAGGTCCAGTTCTAATGTTAGATCAAGAAGTCATATATGACAATTTTTTCACCCTGTTTGATGCTTTTGTCTATTGAACCTTTAGGAACATGCTAATTTCTTTTGTTGTGATTGGCTAACATTTTTGCATATGTAATGACTTTGTAGGTTTGCAGAGTTGTGACATCATAACCACAAAGAATTATGAACGAGTTGTACTTGCATCTTACAGTAATTTCAATAATAAGTCTTAGGATCTTTTTGGATTAGGAAGAAAAAGTTTTGAAGATTACAGTATGTTTTATAGTAAATGAAACTACTTCCTCTGTTGGTAATATTTTACATTTCAGCTGCCATTACTCCAGTCTTCAGTGTCACGTGATCCTTCAGAAATCATTATTCGGATTTGGTGCTTAAGAAACTTTTCTTATTATCAATGTTGAAAACAGTTTTTATTACAGTATATATTTTTTTCAGGTTCAAAAGAACAGCATTTATTTGACTAAGATATTTTTTTGTCAGTTAACTGTCACTTTTGATCAATCCTTTATTTTAAAAGATTAATAAAAATCTGATTTGTACTGCTATTAAAGCCCTTTAAAGTTACATCCCAAGATTTATCGAAAACAACACTGCAATGAAAAAATTAACATATTCAGCACACTTTGACTGGCCTTTTATATTCTGTATATCATCGATGAAATACTGTTTCTCTGGCCTCTCATTTGACAGAGCTTGTAACACCATATTGTCAGTTCAGAGATGTGTGTTCATTGACACAAAGAGGAAAGGTTTCCACTTGACTAGTCAAACACAGACGCTTTTCATCTCCAAGCTGGATATTAGAGAGGGTGTCGGTTTAGGATTATAGGTCGAAAATTTACACTGCACGTCCATTCATGCACGTGTGTTACTTCTTAAATTCCCATAGTACGAAAAGTCATAACTCAGAACACCTGTGTGGTTTAGTTCTACATATGGACATGCAACACTGCGGCTCAAAATCCCTTTCTTTTTGAAAAACTAACCTTAATGTTGAAAAGCATGACTTGTGGTAGCACATTATTACTACAATGGACTGTTTGAGTTTTTCTTTCCCCTTATTGAACATGTGACGTGCTCTATCATTTTGCACATTGTTTGTGGAAGAAACTTTTGTGTATGTTTTGTGTATTTCTGTGATAAAACAGTTTTGGGTTTCAAATGATGTTATTTGTGTTTCTAAATTCAAGTGATAAATGTAATTTTGGGGCTCTATAATGTGGTGTTGGCATCACTTTAGCTTTTTTTAAATGGTCTTTTCCTTTTTACTACTAGTTATAAAACAAAATAAAACATGAATGGAAATCATAAGGTATGTTGAAAGATACAGTACAACAAATGTCTGAAAATTTTTTCAAATGTTTAGAGCCCATTTTCTCAAAAACATTAAACTCAAAATGATGAAGCAGGAGAAAAGTGCTTGATTTACAGTATGTGTCACACCAGACCCATATAAATGTAATGTCTCGTTCAAACGGAAGTTTTGCTTAAACCAAACTTTTTCTCTTCATTTTCTGTTTGAAAATTAAAGTCCCTCTGAAAACTTGGCTTCCTGTTAAAGCGCTAATGTACAGTTGTTATGTTTCTGAGATACGCACGTATGAAGTTCTAATGAGGGATACCACTTTTCTTCAAAGCAGAGGGAAATATCTAGATCCATCTGGCATAAAGCGAAACATCTGGAGGTCGGTTCAGTGAAGTGTGGGACTCTAGGCATGCCAGTTTCATTTTTTCTGACTCAATCCAAGATTCCATCAATGGGATAGCAGTGGACCGGACATTTGTGGGTTTGATTTAACCAGAATAGTGGCCTTCTTTGACCTTTCAGGTCTGCCAGGTTTAAAGATCTACAATCCTGCAGGGCTTTGTGCGTAATTTAACCTCTCAGCATTTCACAATGGAAAATTTAGGGTTCAGTTTATTCAGTGCCATTCAGCCATTCCATTAAAGACAAGGGAGTCAGGGAAGTTACTGAGGTGTGACAGTTACAGTAGGGTATAATGCTGTACGATTGCATGATAGAAACAGCAATGTCTCTGTTCAGGTCATTATTCTCACCCTCGTTTAATCATTCTATGTAATGAAGTGTGCTTATAAAGTTCTTTCAGCGATCAGTTCATCAGGCATGTTGATGAAATAAGAGAACGGGAATCATTGGTTTTGTGCTGTCGTCTGAGAGACTGTGTTTTACATTCAGGTACTGGCATGGAGACAATCTTCCTTTTGATGGCCCAGGAGGAATTCTGGCTCATGCCTTCTTTCCCCGAACTTACCGAGAGGGAGACATTCACTTTGACTACGATGAGACTTGGACAGTGGGCAACAGTATGGGTGAGTGAGGGTCCTGGTTCATTTGGTGTAACTTTTTAGCTACAATAAAACATTTTTTATTTTTTTTTACTCACAATTGGAAGTTATATCTCACAGTTTTTCTCAGAATCTTTCAAGTAATTGAGGGTTTACATCTCACAATTTAGAATTTTTTATTGAAATCTTAAATTTACATCTCACAATTATGACTTTTTTTTTTAAATTCTGAGTTTACATCACACAATTTTGAGACAGAATAAAAAAAAAAAAAAGGTAACATGCAACACTGCATCTCGCAGTTCTGACTTTTATCCCAAAAATCTCATGATTCTAAGTTTATATCTCGCAATTGCAAGAAAAAAGCGATATAACGAGATATAAGCGATATAAATTGCTTCCAAATTAGTTGGTCAAATTGAGTTAATCTAGTACTTATAAATAAGCAATATCACACAAAAACAAGAGCGCTGTTGTTCCAAATATGCATAAATTCACACACGACTGCAAGTAATATTATATGAGTGTTCATCAAAAGTCTGAATAACTTTAGCATTTTAAATATTATTATTTTGCATTTTAAATATTGCAAGTTGCTTTGTCCATTTTTGCTGTGCTGACAAATGACATTAAAGCAAAATCATTGTTTACATCTCCAAGCAACATACTGTAGTGGTGTATTGTCCCTGAATGAATCAGTTTTCTTGAATGAATCGTTTGTTTGAATGATTCAAAACTCAGTCATTAAGCCAGTCACTTGTTTTATACCTGAATGAATCAGTGTTTTTAATGAATCGGATGAGAGAATGGTTCAAGGACTCACTCATAAAGCCAGTCACTTTTTCTTGTTTCCTGAAGGAATCAATGCTTGAAAGAATCGGTTGTATCACTCAACGATTCACTCATAAAGTCTGTTGCTTGTCGCTTGCTACTGTTGTAACTTTGCAACCTGCAGAAATTATTATTATTTTTTATTACGTACGTTGTTTGTATGTTTATCACGTACAAATGGATTTCCACATAAATATATGATGCATGGACTGCATACCATACTATGTCATTTTAAACCCTCTTTTTTAATCCTCTTGCTTTCTACTAGGTACTGACCTCCTCCAGGTGGCTGCTCATGAGATCGGTCATGTTTTAGGATTGCAGCACTCCATGGCACCAGGTGCAGTGATGTCGCCTTTCTACACTTTCTCCTACCCACTCCAACTGAGTGAAGATGATAAGCGAGGTATACAGTCTTTGTATGGATCCAGACACACGGATGATAAAGTAAAGACGGAGAAGAGAACTCCCAAGGTCACAGAAACTAATGAGATTGAAAGCACGGTGGTGAGTTATATGGCTGATTGTATCTGATCTTGGGAATCTTGGGAATTCTTCTTTATTCTTCTCATTCTCTTTTTTTTCTCCTTATTTCCTATATTTTCAGCCTGATGCTTGCCAAACTGACTTTGATGCTGTATCTATGATCCGAGGCGAGCTGTTTTTCTTTAAGTCGGGTTATGTATGGCGGATCCGTGACGGTAAACTCCAGACTGGATATCCTGCATTGGCATCCAGGCACTGGAGAGGAATCCCAGGTGACATTGATGCTGCTTTTGAGGACAAATCTGGAAATATCTGGTTCTTCCAAGGTAAACTGTCTCAAAATAAATAAGATGTTTTCGAAATAACTCTCTTATGCTCACCAAAGCTGCATTGATTTGATCAAACAATACAGTAAAACAATAATATTTAATTGTTTTAACTATTTTAATATATTTTAAAATTTAATTTAATCCTATGATGGCAGAGCTAAAATTTTTAAGAGACATTATTCCAGCCTTTAGCTTTTATTTTGTATGCGATTAATCGTTTGACAGCACTAATATATATGTAAATAAAAAAATAAATATATATTTCTTAAAAAAAAAAAAAGGAATTCCAAAAGAACATTTCAGCTAGCATCAGAAAGTGTATATATTTATAACCCAGATGTCTTTTGGTGGTCTAATTATCCAGCCTAAATCAGTCAACTAAATCAGGGGTTCATGACGAATGGAAAATTCATAAACCGTGATTTAATATAACCTCTTTCACCCACCATTCTCTCTGTAGGCCAGAGTTACTGGGTTTTTGATGCAGAGCGGCAGATCACAGGGCCGGACTCTGTACGACGACTAGGTCTAACAGTGACTGACATTCAGGCCGCCCTCATGTGGGGAGAAGATAAGGCCCAGAAGATCTTCTTCTTCAAAAAAGGAAGCTACTGGCGATTCAACCTGAAGGAAAACCGCGTTGACTCAGTCCACCCTCGCAGCATGAGGGACTGGAGGGGCGTACCGGATGACATTGACGCTGCTTTCCAGGACCGATTCGGTACGGCTGTCACTGAGACATTATTTCTTGCATGTTTTTGAATCTGCAAAGGATGGAGGGAGTTAAAAAAGTCATTGAATGTTTCTTGGTTCGTTATTACTCCACAGGCTTCGCCCACTTCTTGAGAGGGAAGCAGTACTGGAAGTTCGACCCAGTAGAAGTGAGGGTGCTGGAGGGATATCCACGATATATTGGCATGGATTTCTTTGATTGTTCTGCAGCCCTGTATCGATGAATCACTGGTACAACTAGATGTAATTTAGCCCAAATGTAATGCTGATCTTTGTCACGCACCTAGTGCAACAGGCAGTTTCCACATGTTTAACTTTGAACCAATCTAGGCCTAGTATTTTTATTTATATCACGCAAAGTGTCAGATGTACAGTCTCTAAATCTGACCACTGGATCAAACTTTTTTTTTTGTGGATTCAAGCAGATACTGTTTATCTACTCAGTCTGTGACTCAAGGTGCTACATCTGCGCCAATTAATCTCATCTGCAAAACAATGACTCTCATTACTCAGGAAAAGCAGGAAATTCTGGCTTTAAAATATTTTTCGTATATATTTTGTGTACTTGGTTATTTATTATTTGTATATTTTTGGCAGTATTGATAGTGTTAGGAAAACATAACGGCCATTCTTTTTGAGAAATACCATATTGTGCCATTAGTGACGTGCTGTTGATTACCACAGAAGACAATTTTGTTCTTAAAAACGAGCAAAGATTGCATTAAACCTAATGCACTTACAGTGGAAATCTATAAGGCAAGTAATTTAAAACAGAAACCTTACTGAAGCGCATACTAATAACTTTTAGTACAAAAACTTGAGGTAAACATGTACATCAAATATTAAAGCATCCTAAAAACCAACAGTTTAGTTCTCAGAGCAACAATAATGTAACAATTTTTTACTGAACTTTGTAGAGATAGCTGAACATTTCGTATTTTGTTTGAAGCTTTGAAGGACCGGAACTTTAAAGTATTTAAAAGTTGCTGTACTTTCAGTATTTAGGGACTTTCGTTCATTTTTAATGAGAAATGGCAATTTGATGTGACACAAGTGACCTTTGGGAATAGCTGTCAATGTGAACGTCCATTTATGCTTAACTTAAGTCTGTAAGAGACTTATGAAGACCTGTTTTTCAATAGTGATAATGTATATTTTACAGTGCAGGTCACTGATGTTGTTCACGTGTATCTAATTAAACGTTTTGCATGATAATGATGGCTTTTGTTCTAGGGAAACTGTACACTTCTCATTCACTGCTATTATAATGTTTGTCATGTAATCAATTCTTTCTATTGTTATTGTTTTTAATTATCAATTTACTGTGTAAATATTTTGTAAAAAGAATTGTATTATATTTTCAGCTCCAATAAAAACCTCTCTTTGTTTATACTCTGAATTATCTGTTGTCTGGATTCAATTCAGAAAATGCTGACAAGAGGTTTTGTTTCTATGAATCATCATATTATGAAGTTTCAGCATACAGATTTTGTTTCTACATTACTTTCCCTCACAGGTGGTTGGTAATATTATCAGTGTTTGCGTTTCTTTAAATTCAGTCTCTTCTATGTCCAAAAAGGCGATTTTTATGAAAATTAACAGACTTTTATTTCCTTTTTTAATATGAGGATCACATTAAAGCTGTCTTGGAATTTATTTACCATGCCGCCATCATTTATTTTTGCTCATTTTTTCCCCTTTTTGTCCTTGACTTCAGATCTTATTGAACTCAATCCATCATACAATTTATTTACAGCTAAAAATATATTTCATTTCTTTTATTTATAAATCAAAAAGAAAAACAATTCATAACAATAAAAATAAAACTACTGTAATTATGCATAATTCCCAGTAAAACTGTGTAAAAAAATGTCTAAATATTACTTACCTCTGTGTATTCAGGATGCATAAAATGCTAGTATATTAGCCTTAGTAAGACAACGGAATTGGTAATGTTATTCAAAAATATTTTAGATGTCATTTCCACCACATGTTATCAGATGCAATAGATCATATGAGATGTGATAGAAAGGACATTATGACGAAGTCAAAAGGGCCAAACATGCTGATAGTTGAAGAAACACTCTCATATTAGAGAAGCGTGCACAGCCTGTCTGGTTCTAATATGTTCTATCAGAGGTTTCGGGGTGGAAATGGAAGACGGCTGTTCTGCAGGCCCTCCTGCCGAGACAATTCCAGAGTCCTGCTGTCTTGGCTTGTTTACAGACTGTAATTCCCCTCTTCTCTCCCGCTTCTATCACACGGAGCAAATTTGTAACACAATGACATTGTAACATAATGACATCATAATTTCAGTTCCATTTTATGTGAAGCATCTGTTGGCGCCATCCGTTGCCAAGTTAACACATTTTGTAGGGCTTTGCCTTAGTAACTACAGATGTCGCAATGCCTTGGGTGAAACGCAAACCCTTATCATTGGTTATCAAGAGGATTTGAAACAGAATTCATAATCGTGCTTACTGAATGGGTTTGGTCATAAGAGTTGCTTTGTGCTTTTTTCTTGAGTTAAGACCAGCACTTGCATGATTAATGAAGTGTCACAGTTTTCTTGTTCGGTTGCCACTGATGGCAGACGCTGTACCAGACGTCTTAAAGTGCTGTTGTTACGCATACACGTGTACCACTTCTAAGAGTATGTTGTAAAACACATGTCTACATTTTGAACTTGAAGAAGGACGTTTGCCTTCAGGGTAAAGCAAGTCTGCACTGGTTTAACCACAAGCATGCGCACACAGCTGACCCGATCGACCCCCGCAATATTTCTCTCATTAAATCAAAAAGCAGATTTGTATGTTGACATATTTGCTATAAATCACAGAGAACTGTACAACTAAAAACATGTGGCTTTTAACAGTTGGTGCAGAATAAAACCGCTGTCATTTTTCAAAATCATGACTGGTCCTAATCACTCTGAATCATGATCTGATTAAAAAGTCAGCAGAGAGTCAGATTTCCAATAACGTCCCTTATAGCTGATCTTCATAAGACTGTAATGTTCAAATCTGAGCGATGACAAACAAATGATGAAAGATTGGACTCTAATGTCATGTTTCTTTGAAAGACTATTAAGATGTAAATCAGATTTCATATTTATCTGACAAACATCATTTGCCCTGACAGAAGTGCTTGAACTGTGGTGGAAGAGTTTGTTTTCCCCCCTGTACAGAGCCATACATACATCCACAGTGTTGTAGATTGAATAATAGATCACAGGTGTGTTCAAAAGTTAGATTTCTGACTCTCTCTCTGGGCTAATTCTGTTTTAAGTGAACACCACTGTGCCCGAAGTGCACTTGAAGTGAATGGTGCAGGGAATACTGCCTCATGTGTTGAATATGAATCTTATCTTGATACATAAAAAACATAACATAAAAAAATCTACTGATATAACGAAATATAATAATCAAGCAAATTAGGCTAGCTTCTTCTCGTCATTAATTCATATTTTAACTGTGTTAACGATTCGCGATTTTTCGCGCCACTCAAAAATGTACCTTTGCACACAAGGTGCATTCCTGAGGGAGTTCGCTTGCTTACTTGTGTTTGGAACTTTCAAGAAGAAATGCCGTTTCGCAAAAATAACATTTCTTTAAACTAATCGAGTTTACTTAGCGCGGCACATTTTTATTAGTTTGTTTACTGACAGGACTTTCAGCAAACTGTTATCAAGTGTGACTAATGCTGAGAAGCTGTGTCCTTTTCATCGTGGTTTCCAAGCACGAGTAAGTTACTTCAGTGGCCTATAATAATATTACTTTAATTCTTTATATTTTATCCAATTCTGTCACATGGAATTTTGTACGTTGGTTTTAGTGGTCAAGTGCAAGAATGAATAACATTATTATAAGGGGAGGAAAACTTGAAAATAATATGGCTTTCCAGAGTTCTAGGGATGCAGCCACACATGATCAGGTAAAGCAGTTTCATTACACCAGTATGATCCATTTACATCTATTCTATAGCTAACAAATATGCAGTGAACAGAAAGAATAAATTTAATAAATTAATGTCAAGGGGATTGGAACTCTACTGTATTTCCATTACGTTTTATAGAACCACCAATTGCATTTGCTGTGATAGACTGGCACAGGATTATGGGAATGCATAATCTATCACAGGCATCGGCTAATGAGGGCTTTCTGGGTTTTGATTGAACTGCTTCCAGTTTCCATACACATTAAAGACACATCATCTCACATTTCAAAAGAATGCTTCGTAAACTGAAGCAAGCTGTTCATTGTGCATGACGTATGTGGTTAGGAGAACAGAGTTTAGACCCAGCTGATGAGCTAATGCACAGAAAGAGACCGCAAATGAACATTCAAACATAAATTACTTCTGAAACAGATATTAAAAACATTATTGTTATTTTTAAGCATACAAGTATAAACCACTTTCAATTTGTAGTTCCAACTTCCCACAGCTTTTAAGAAAGGAATTGACTCGACTCAAAGTGACTACAACAGTTTTATAAAAACAGTGAACCACAGGCATACAATTTACCATTGTCTTTATTTTAAAAAAAGCATGTCAAGTTCATAGTTCGCATTAGCACCTTTAACGAAAAACACAATACTCAATCAAACGTTCTCAACATCCTGTTCTTACAACCAGACTATACAGATGTCTCTATAACTGGAGACCAGAGAAACGGCAATGACAGGCATTCTACTAAGACGTCCGGACAACAGCCCCCGTGAGCACTGTAAAGCCTGGCTGATGCCAGATCAGTGTTTAAAGGCCTGGTATTAAGAAAGTGTGTAATGCTGTGTGGGTTGAGGAGGTCAGAAGGCTGGAGGAATGTTATCTAGAGCTGTGTGGATCTGTGCAAAGGCCTCCAGCAACCCTGAGGCCCTTCGAGACTGGGAGCTTATTTAGTGGCAGCATCAATAACGTCCTGTCTTTACCAGGCAGGGGCGGTGTTGGCAAGTCTTCGCATACGCCTATGAAATAATAAAAAAGGCAATATTATTCATGTGTAATACTAATAGTAATACAAATTAATTCATTAATTATAAATATTATTCATACCAAAAAAACATGTATCAAAAAATGTTTTAAAATAAAATTAAAATATTAAATTAAAATAAAAAAATAAATAAAATGGTGTCTAATAGGTGAAGTCAAATTTGAGCATGTTTCTCACCTTGTGTTTCTGTCCTGATCTCTGATCTTCTTCTCCATCTCTGCATCTGTCAGGGTCTCCAGCAGAGGGCACCACTGATCGGCATCACCTGTGTTCCGAATGGCAATCTCCACTGTTGGTAATGGGTTCTCACTACAGGAAATGAGCAATATGAAGTTAGAAGTGGACAGCATTGCTTAAACATCATGGAATCCCAATGATGCTTCACTGATGACCACTGAGGCATAGAGGTGATATCTAGAAATATCTTTTAAACTTTTGTTAGGAAAAATTATTTCTATATTAATACGATTTACTTCTAACCATCATACAAAAATAAAAACCATGCTGTGGCAGCACATGCAGGGGTCAAACAGAACAGAACAGTCACCAAACCACTGTCTGTTCTGGTATGACTAGGTTTAAGCTATTTCTGTCATTTCTAGAAAAAAAACTGCATTAGCAACATGTCCATATACAGGGACAAGTTCTGCAGATATAAAAAATAAGAAAAGATGAAAGTACTCAGCTTCCCAGGGAATGAAACGTGGGGGGTAAGAGGGAGAGAAGATCAAGAAATTTTGAAGCATATTGACCTGAAATCAGACCTATTGGAACAGACAGTGGGAGAAGCAAACCATTAGAAAGTTACAGCAAAACAAAAACAAGAAGCAATGAAGTTGTAACATTTTAACAGTTCTAAATGAACCACAAAGCAAATAATGCACCATTTTCACCTATGATCTACTGACAATGTCATGCTAATAATTTGTTATGCCCCACAAATCTCAACCCTTGAAAGGCAA